AAACTCTGACTTCTCTCTTGTTTTGTTTTTGTTTTTCCCTCTGTCCTCCTCAGTGGCACCAGACACAATTAACAACCATGTGAAGACATGCCGTGAAGAGCAGAAGAACCTGCACTTCTTTGCCCCGGAGTACGGAGGTAACGTGTGGCAACAGTTTCAAGCCCGGGTTTTGCTGGCCTGACTCACTAATGCCTCCGGGCTATTCTCACCTCTTGTTTTCAGCTGCATGATCAGGAAACTTGACCTACAGTTCAGTTGCAGCGTTACCTGTGTTTTGAAATGCTCCAACTGCACTGTGGTTAGAAGCACCGAGGAGGAGGGGAAGGCTGAGGGGTTATCGGGATGGTCCTGCTGCTGAGCACAGGGATGGGCTGACAACAGAGCTTTGTTTCTGTGTTGCAGAAGTTGCCAATGTCACCACCGCTGTGGACATTTACTCTTTTGGGATGTGTGCCCTGGAGGTGAGTGCGGAGCGCGTGGCTGGCGCGGGGCGCGCTGTGCCTTGGCCAACTCGTGTGCGTGTTAGCCGGTGACAAGGGGGCCGCGCGCTCGAGCCTCCGGGGCTCCGTCTGCCTCGCTAGGAAGAAAATAGCTCAGCGAAGAGCTGTTCCTTCCAAATCCCCAGCGTGGGGCTCGTTGCCCTGTGGGTCATGGCTAGCTCTGAAGACTGACTCAGCTGCTGGTGGGAGCAGTCACTATTGCAGCATATACTGACCTATGCATATAACCTATAAGTGCAAAGCTGCCAGGGATGTCGATCCTTCAGAGTGTCTGTAGGAGAGGACGGCTGCAGTCCCTAAGCGCGCCGGGCTGTCCTGTCCCTGCCTGTTACAGCAGGTGCTGCTCAGTGAGCTGCGGGCCCACAACCCCTGATCTGGGCAGCCTGGGGCTCCTCTGTCCCCACAGCCAGAGGCTGAGGAGGAGGAAACGGGATTCGGTGGGGGTACTATCTGGCATGAGCTGTCAGGAGGAGCCAGCATAAAATCTTCTGACCCTGTGCTGTGCAACCCATGGGGGAGGCAGGAAGAGAGCTGGGCGAAGATACAGCTCTTGGGAAGCAAAGCCTGAGCCGAATCTTGGAGCCCTCCGAGCCTTCCCTAGCTGGGAATTAGTGCGTGCGCTGGCCGGAGCCCTCGTGCGTGCGCGTACGCTGCGTGCGTGCCCGGTGCTTCCCTGCTCCGTCCTGCAGCCGGGAGAGACGCGCTCAGATTCTGGCAGGGATCCGGCTATGGCTTCAGCAGGGATGGGGATTGCCACCAGCACTGAGGCCAGGGGATCAGGAGACTCAAAACAGAGATGTTAACTCTGGAAGGTGACATTGGCGCAGGGATTTCAGGTTTCCCAGGCAATCTGCTAGGGCTGGAAACAAACCATTTCAATGAAGCAGCTGGGAGCTGTGACCTTGCACAGCACCAAGCAAGGTGGCTCTCGTGAGCCTGCGCGTGGTGGGCGTCTCCGTGGGCCCAGCGAGGCCTCACGTGCCGCTTCGCGTCTGCAGATGGCGGTCCTGGAAATACAGGGCAACGGAGAGTCGTCCTACGTGCCCCAGGAGGCCATCAACAGTGCCATCCAGCTGCTGGAGGACCCCCTGCAGCGGGTGAGTGCGCGGGCAGCGCGGCTCCCGCCGGCCCTGGCCTTGTGCCCGCTCTCACGCTCTTCTGGCCTTGCAGGAGTTCATTCAGAAGTGTCTGGAACTGGACCCTGGCAAGCGTCCCACTGCGCGGGAGCTCCTTTTCCATCAGGCGTTGTTTGAGGTGCCATCGCTGAAGCTCCTGGCAGCTCACTGCATCGTTGGGCATCAGCGTGAGTGTGGCCTCCTTGTGTCCTGCGGAGCTCCCCAGGCTGTCGCTACGGCTTCCCATCCTGGGAAGCAAGACTTGGTGCTGGGCTCTGCGTGCTGGGGCCGTGCGAAACAGACCTGCGCTTGATGCGAGGGCTGCAGCTAGCGCTCCTTAGGATCGAAAAGCAGCTGCAGTAGCTCAAGTCTCTCTCTCTTTCTCTCTCTCTATATGTTTAATAGATATGATTCCTGAAAACGCCTTAGAGGAAATGACCAAAAACCTTGATATGAGTGCAGTGCTGGCTGAGATCAACCATCCTGAAAGAGAAGGAATCAAGATGATGTGAGTACTCCGTGGCCCGTCAGGAGGGCACTGCTCAGGTGCGTGTGGGAAGGGGCTGCAGGATGCTGGGGTGGACACTGGAGGATCTGCAGTCTGGGACTGTCCCCTCCTGTCATTCCTTTCCCAAGAACTGGAGGAGCTGGCAGGGTGCTCTCAGCCTGGGCCAGTATTCTGGGATCGCAGGGTGGCGATCAAAAGAAATTTGGAAGGCAAAGAGGAGGCCACTACTGAGCTGAGAGGCTGTTTGAGCCACAGACACGTCTTTTAAAAGCCGGCATTCTGTTCTTCCTAGAGACACTAATTAATAGTATTGAATTCTCTTTGGGATGGGCTTTTAGTCAAAAGTTCTAAATGGAGGACAAAGAATGAGCAGCCAAAGCTGTAGAGAAGAGTTTCTGCTATCCTGGACTCCAGGAAAATGGTCACCTGGTACCTGCCAGCCCAAGACCTGCTTCTCGGCAGGGATGCCTGAGAGGTGCTGGAAGATGGAGCAGGAAGCACAGCAATAACTTGGAAATTTGAAGGACGCGATTCCCAGATGATTCATTGGAGCCCTGCAAGAGCAGAACTCCTGGCAAAATTCTAAAATCCTGTTTAAAGTTGTAACTGTACTGGAGGATGGGAAGGAACAGAGTTTTTGGTGTTTTAAAAGGGACTGCAGAGGAGCTGAGGTAAAGGCGCAGCTTCTACCTGCTGTGCTGGAACAGCAAAGCTGCCAAAAATGTGGCAAGATTTGTGCAATTTGCAGCCTCCTGCTCATCCCTGAAATTCTTCAAAACCCACAAGACAGTGGTAAGGGGGAAGACTGTTACGTTTCAGCGTTGTTGTTGCACCCAGTCTGAGTTAAGCTGTGCTCGAGGGGGTGCTGAGGAGCTGCATTAACGTGGTCGGGAGCTGGGGGAGCAGCGGCGCAACACGGGACTGAGGGATGGCAGGAACTTGCGTTAAGGGAAGAGCAGCCGTTTCTGCGCTCGGGAAGCTGCGTGATGCCGCAGGAGAGGAGCGCCGGCAGCTCGAGGAGAACCCGCTGCTGCGCAGCTGCAGCTGAGGGTAAATGCAAGGCCAGGGCGCCAAATAACGGCAGAAAAGATGGTGCTGGCTGCATGTAATCCCTCAAAACGCTGCGTTTACACTGTGGCATCCTCTGCAAGCCTCGAGTGAATGGCTCTGGAGCAGATCAGAGAACCGACTTTACCATTTTCACCTCGGGGACAAACTGTGTATTCTTGGAAATGAGAAATAGGAAACAGCATATGACAAGCTGTGGAAGAGGAGAGAGGGCGCGTGCTTGTTCCCCTCTTGAGCAGCAGCAAAGGAGGTGGTCAGTGGAATTAAAGACTGGGGAATTGACAACTAGTTGTAGAGAAGATTTCTGGGACTCATTACACTAAGAAGCCACAAAGACTGAACAAACAATCTGTAAAAGGACTTACAGGGAGAACAAGCGTGTCCAGAACAACTTGGGCAGGGGATTAAATTCCAAGCTGTTGGTTTTTACTGTTTGTGCAAGGTGAGATGCTGGGTCCTGCGGCACCATCAGGCGCTGCAGAGCCTCCTGTTGCAGTTCAAATGGCTAGCTATCTGCAACAGCCTCCTGCCCCTGCAGGGCTCAGGACCCGCTCTCCTCGGTGGGTTCAGCATAATGGTGTCCGCAGGATCACACTAGGATCTGGTTCCCAAATAATTGTTTGTACTGGACACCTCTGCCCAGGGAGGCGATGCCTGTTTCTGCCGTAATAACAAATGCTCCCTTGTTCCTTAGTGCTGTAGCTGCTCCTGTAGAGAAGGCGCGAGTCCATCTCGCTCTGGCTGCCCCTCTCTGCACCCGCCTCCGCTCTGGGGCGCGAGTGTGTGCGTCCTTCCCGGAGCCTCGAGCGCGCGGCTGCGCGAGCCCCTTCCTCACTTCGGTATTTTCTTTCTCGTAGCTTCTCCCAGTCTCCAGCGCTGGAGCTGGACAAGTTCCTAGAGGATGTCAGGTAAGAGGCTCTTCTAAAGGGCATCCTTGCTGCACGTGAGGCCAGGGAGGTTGAGGAGGGACACCTTGAGCTGCCCCTTTTCCGCAGGAACGGCATCTACCCGCTCACGGCTTTTGGGATGCCGCGGCCCCAGCAGCCCCAGCAGGTGGTAGTGAAGTCGCCCATCGTCCCACCGTCAGTGAAGACCCCAACTCCGGAGCCCGCCGAGGTGGAGACCCGTAAGGTGAGACGGCAGCGAT